ATTTCTGATAGAAAAATTGTCAATCATTCATTTTCATCCTGGTTACACTGTCTGTTTCCTGGTCTCTTGGCCTCTACCTCTTAGCAAGCTCATATGCAGGAATTTTTTTCCTCTTTCTCTCTGTGTGTGTATGTAAATGTGGACTGCAATTTTTTTAAATATAAAGGAGTTCAAAATAGTCATGCAATGAGTGTGCATAAGAGAGGTTAATGAAAAATTTGAGTGGAAATAGTGATTGGTAAAATGATTTTGTTCTAACATACCAAAAAGTGATACAGTAATAAAGGTTTCATAGAAATTACCTTGGCTGCCTCTGCCTGCTACTTCTCTACCTTCTCAGCGAGGCCAGCAACAGGTAAGTGCGGGCAGGGCTTCCGGCCAAAAGGGCTGGACCTGGGCTGCTACTCATTGGTGGGGAGGTACAGTTCCCCCGGTACTGCCACATTGCCATCAGTCCCTCCTGCCCGCCCATCCCCCCACAACACAGCGCTCTCCCCTTCCCCCTAACACAGTGGCTCACTGCCCATCTATCACAATTCAAACCTTTCTGTGGATCACCAGCTGCTAATAGAAACTTGCCATTAATTACATATTTACGCCTGAGCCATTTTGCTAGCACTGCAACTAGGAAGAAGGGTTTAATTTAACACGTAAGAAAGGAAGTGTTAATTTCAATTATTAAATAGACTAAGCACTTCAACTTTCTCATGTTAGTTTATCAAACTTCATTTTAAATAAAGTAAAAATTAATTTATGTCCAACATAAAAGGTTTCAACGTTTTCTTTATGGCAGGGGTGGAGAACATTTTTTGGGTTGGAGGCTATTGACCCACAGAAAAATCAGTTGGGGACCACACAAGTTGGTAGCAAAACCAAAAACAAACCCTCCAAAAAAGCCCAACCCTCACTGATGTGGTCCCCAACTGAGACATCGGGGTTCCCCCGACACCGGGCTCCCCACGGCATTTAAAAGCGGCAGTGCCACATGGAGCCTGGGGTAAGTGGGTGAGTCTCCAGCTGATCCCGGGCTCCACGCAGTACTGCCACTTTGAAATGCCATGTGTAGTCAGGGGACACCTCAGCTGGCCTGGGCTATACATGGCATTTCAAAGCAGCAGCATCATATGGAGCCCGAGGTCTGGCCCCAGGCTCCAAGCAGTGCTGCTTCTTTGAAGTGCCCTCTTTTGCCCACCCCCATGTTGCCTCTTTCTGATTGAGGCCACAAAAGGGGGGAGGGGGAGAGTGACTAGTCGTTCATATCCCTAATGTTGACAATGCCAGTAGGGAAAAAAATTACGCGGATGGAAACCAATGGAATCTGGCAACCCTGTTTGGGGAACAGCAAACAAAAATATCTTCTGGGCCACACACAGAACCCCAATGTGTCACATATGGCCCATGGGCCACAGGTTGCCATCACTGTACTAGTTACTCAGTGTAATCTACGTTTTTAATTACACACAGTTTCAGGGCTGGCCTTAGGCCGATTCCCTCGAATCGGACCCCACGCCTAAAGGGGCCCCATGCCCTGAACCCGGAAGCATGGGCGGCGAGTTACATGGGCTCGTGGTGCCCATGTTCTAATATTCAGAGCCGGGGACCCTGCTCCACCAATATGTGGAGCTGGGTCTCTCCCCCGGCCCTGCCTGGAGTGGGCCCCAGCCCCTCTGCGCATCCTCCCACCCTGGCCCCACATCGTCTCCCCTTGATCCCAGCCCATCCCTGTGGGATAGTTACCTATGTGAGTGGGAGATGCTTACCTATATGAGTGGGATACACCCAGGTGTGACGTGATGTCACAGCCCGGGACTTTAAAACTGCTTGGCACCGCGTTGCACCACTCAGCCTAGCTCCGGGTTCGAAGTCCGGGGCCCGAGCACAGACTCTGGCCCCAGCCCCGGCCCCGCAAAGTGGAAGGAAGAAGGTAAGATGAGGAAGGGGAGGGGGAGGGGGAGGAAGGGGAGAGGGGAAGGGGGAAGAAAGGGGAAGGCACCAAGAGACAGGGTGGACGAGAGACAAATGCCAGGGGGCTAAGTGCAGACAATGAGGAAAAGGGCAGGAGGGGAGGTGTCAGTGGAAGGGGGGACAGGAGAGGATAAGGGCACTGGGGTCTAGAGCGGGGAGGGGGAGGTGCTGGGAGAAGGCTTGAAAGAAGGGGTGGGCATGAGAAAGGTGGAGATGGAGCAAATCATGTGTGAGGGCACAGAGGGGCATGAGGAGAATGGGGACAGACAGTGGTGAGGGGGTGGGCATCAGGGAAAAAGTGGGTAAAGGGGACAGGGGCAGTGAGGGAAGGGGGAGGCACCAGGAGGGTGCAGGGCTAAGGGAAGGTGCAGGTGCCAGAGGATTCTGGAGGTGAAGCAGAAGGGCAGACACCTGCAGGGAGGGACCAGCACCAGAGGAGAGAGGAGGGCAGGTGTGTAGAGGGAGGTGTTAGAAGAGGGGTAGCTCACATGATCAGAGTGGGGCGACTGGAGGAGTGGGCACAGGGGGGAGAGAAGGGCTGGTGGAGGGGGCAGGTCTCAGGAAGGCTGAGTGCAGTGAGAAGGGCAGGAGTCAGGAGAGCAGAGGAGGATGAGGAGTTGGGGGGCAGCAGGCACTGGGGAGCTGATGGAGGAGATATGGCAGCAAAGAGAAAAGGTAAAGGTTTATAAAATATTTATAAATAACTTGGGTGCCACAGTGGCACATCAAAACAAGCCACATGAACTCAGTACTGGTGCACAACACAATTCATTCTGCTCATGGGAGGAAACTCTTAGGCTATGTCTACACTAGCGGCTTCTTGCGCAAGAACATCTTGCGCAAGGGTTCTTGTGCAAGAAGTCTTACACAAGAACACGTCCACACTGCTAAGTGCGAGCTGTGCTTTTGCGCAAAAGCAGTGTGGACGCTGTCTTGCGCAAGAAAGTTCCGACTGCCATTTTAGCATCCACACTGCCCTCTTGCGCAAGAGAGCTTACACCTTTTAGAAAAGAGTGTAGCTCTTGTGCAAGATGCCCGGGTGTGTGTGTGAGTGAGCTACCTCCGGGGCTTTGCAGGGGAGGTAACTGGGGATTTTTTTGTGTGCGTTGGTTTTTTTTGAGGTATTCTGTGTGCAGTGGATTTTTTTTTTTTTTTTTTTGCTCAACCAAAATTGCCGTGGGGGCACTGTCGAAATTGGGCCCTGCACTTCCTAAAGTCGGCCTTGGACAGTTTGCCCTGAAAAGCAGGGTGGCCAACCTCTCTCCCCCACCCCAGGATTGGCCTGTAGTCTCATAGATTTGGCATGGATCTCATGCTGATTATTGAAATCAAGCCTGGAGATTTTAATGGGATATTTTAAGAAAATAACATTAAGTCATGCTGGAAAATAAATCTCCCAGAATAGCTCCAATTAGCATTTTCTACTTAACAGAGAGACAACATATAAAATATAAAATCAATTTTAACGAACAACCTCCATAGAGAAATTACTCATGCTATGACTATAGTGATTTAAAAATAAATCAATACAATATTTAAGATGCAGCATTTCTTGTTCCTTAGCTACAAATTATGTATAGTGCTGTTAATAGAGATGTAAAGGGTTAACTGGTAAGCATGGCTTACCAGCATGCTTACTAGGGTAGTTGGTAAGAAGGCGCCAAGCTTGGCGAGAGCAGCCCCCTACTTACGGTGCACTACAGGTGGAGGGCTGCTCCAGCCCAGCTGGACCCACTGCGGCATGCTACAGATGGGGGGCTGTTCCAAGTCAACCAGGTTTACCATGCTGTGCTGGGCCCATTAACTGGTTAAACATAGTATAAATGGGATTTTGCATCTCTCCAGTACTATAAATTGTAAAATATCAGATAAAACCAAAAATTGGTAATTCAATGGCTAGACCCACGCAAACTCACTCTCTGTGTGACGCTTCACATTAAAGTAACCCAAAGCCCTAGTGTCAACTAAACCTGAGATTTGCAGTTGACAGTTTCAGTTTAAAGTACAATATAAAATACTACTAGATCTCACTCACTTCTCTCCCTACTGGTTTAGAAAGTAGGCAACATTCAACGAATTTGAGATTTTAAAAAATGAAAAATACTCTTGGGCTGTGTCTACATTGGCCCCTATTCCGTAATAGGGATGCAAATGTAGCACTTGGGAATAGGCAAATCTGCGGGGGATTTAAATATCCCCCGCGGCTTTTGCATTAACATGGCTGCCGCTTTTTTCCGGCTTGTAGATAAGCCGGAGAAAAGCGCCAGTCTGGACGCGATCCTCCGGAAAAAAAACGCGCCAGTCTGGACGCGATCCTCCGGAAAATAAGCTCTTTTCCGGAAGATCTCTTATTCCTACTTGAAAGGAAGCTTATTTTCCGGAGGATCGCGTCCAGACTGGCACTTTTCTCTGGCTTATCTACAAGCCGGAAAAAAGCAGCAGCCATGTTAATGCAAATGCCGCAGGGGATATTTAAATCCCCCACGGATTTGCCTATTCCCAAGTGCTACATTTGCATCCCTATTATGGAATAGGGGCCAATGTAGACATAGCCTTGTGGCATAAAAAGAGAGAGATACTTGTTCCAGTTCTATAAAACTGTTATGAACATAGTCAAAACACATTCATTAGATGTCAATCAGCAGGTGGCTCAAATATTCTACCACTCACAATAATAAAAATAGCTAGTTTTCCTTATGTGTATTTGTAAGTTTAAACGCAATTCTCTGAATATTTATAAATGTTGTTCTCTATAAACTGACACAGAATACACTATTATATTCACAATCTTTATAATTTAATAATTAAACTTGATAGCAGGAGACTGGACTTGATGATCTCCCGAGGGCCCTTCCAGTCCTAGTATTCTATGAGTCTATGACTCTAGTTACCACCTGATTCCAGGTCTGTTTAAAAGCACAATGTACAATTAGGAATCATTTTCTCATCTCTAATAAGGCATCAATAACTTCACTGAAGCTAAATCAAGAGATAATACAAAACCCAGAAACTGATCATGAAATTTGCATACTTACTGTAACTGGATTTGCTTTCTCCTTTCCTATATTTTAGAATTTGGAAGCTAACACCATCTGTAAGAGAAAATTAACAGTGTTTTATCTGAGAAGTTCAATGGTAATGTTTCCCCTAAATTATTCTAAGACAGACTTTCTAAAATATTTAGACGTTTGTAGCACCATAAATAATATTACCATTATAGAAACCAATATGCCAATACTTATTTCTCAATATTTTACCTGTCTTTCCAGATTATGATTTCCCAGTGCCATGAATAAGCAGAAATAGCTTTTAATTAAATAAAACTGAGTGATCTGCTCTTTATTCACAGTCCTTGCTATTTATATACAACCAGCAGGACCAATGTCCCTGGCAATGTGGAGGAGGACCTTGTCTGTGTCCCCGAAAGAGGCGAGGCCTTGGGCAGAAGGGGCAGGGCTGGGGGCTTGGCAGTCCTCAGCACTGCCAGACAGCATCACACCTCCCGCAAGCAGCTCTCAGTGTTGTCTGGAGAATGCCGCATGGCACTCCAGTACTTCAGAAGCAGTTTAAAGGGTCTGGGCCTCTGGCCGCTGTAATAGTGGCAATGGAAGTGGCTGGGAGTTCTAGGACAACCACCTTCATTGGCAAGCCTATGTATGTCAAGCAGTTTTCATGCATTCCCAGACCAGAAGGGACCACTATGTGCATATGTACAGCACAGACCATAGAACTTTCCCCCAAAAATCCCTTGAACTTATCTTCTATGAAATCATACATTCCCTCTACTGTATCTATTTTGGAGAAAGAGGCACGTGGCACAGCTTCTTTTTTACCTAGCATTTTAGCAATTTCTGTGATCCCAACTTTATGTAAAACAGCTTCCCAGAGTTACCATAAAATGCACGATAATCTTAAAATTTAAACCATTATGGTCATAAAAATGTTAAAAGAAAATGTGTAGCCCGAATGAAAAGTATCAGTTTATGGTGCTAGAAGATGAAAATACAGCAGTGTAACTTGCAGGAGAATAAAATGAATGGAACTTCAGCCAAAATCTCTAATCAAGCATAAAATGCTACACTCAATCAACCTATGATTCACTTTGTCCAGTATTCTATCTTCAACTGTCGGTTATACCAGATACTTGGGAGAAAAGTCTAAGAAACTCCTACAGGACAATATGGAATATTATTCACACAGAGGAAATTTCTTTCTGATTTGTCAGTCAGGGGTCCATTTAGGCCAAGGCGGGCAAATTCTGGCCTGCAAGCTGGATCCAGTCAACAAGGTTAATCCCTGGCAGTCCCCCATTCTGTGTTCACCTGTGTGTGCAGGTATTGGACAATCATAGCTCTTGCTGGCCACAAATTGCTGTTCACAGCCAACGCAAGTGGCAGGGAGCAGCATTCTGGTCCGCAGCCAATAAGAGCTGCGATCATCCAATACCTGCTAAGGCACAAGTAAACATAGTGGTGATGGCCTGGCAGGGACTAAACCTGTCCGGCTGCTTTCCCCTCCTCCCCACCTCTGTTTTAGGCCTTGAATATAATGGTTTATATCCTTTAATAAAATACTTTATCTAGCATAAATGTGGGTTCTGTAATTATCCATATATTCACATACGCATCTTAACCTTTTTTTAAACTAAGCTCTTTAATAAGTTAAAGTAACAAGCCCCACAGGTTAATTATGTATTGTGTAAGTTGTATGCCCTTGTATTAGTTTTAAATCTGTTGCAAATTACTTATAAAATTTTGCTTTTTAAAAGACATTTCATTCTGTGATGGTTTGACACAGAATGCTTTGGTAGGAAGTAGTTTAACTATAGGAATAACTTCTTGATTACACAAAAAATGTCTTCATTCCTTTAAATGATCTGTGGCTATTACAACATAATTCAACTGTCAACTATATTTTTAACCCTTTGTAATTCACTAATTCACCCTGGTGTCTTTTTGCATCAGCATGAAGCTGTTTATCTTTCTGCTATGTTGAGGTAATGCTTGAGCGCTAAATTATTTTGCTATATCAGAAGAGGTTAGGGGGTAGAGAAAAACTAAAACTATTCTATAAATAGTTTTCAGTTTTATTTTATTTAGTTTTCCATGAATTTATCAGTATTTATTATCACCAGAAAAAAAAATTGGTGCAAAATTTCTGGGTAAATATCAACATTTATTTTAGTAGATGGAAAGAATGGGGAGAAAGTATTCAGTAGATTAATACTTTGAATTCTGTTCATCAACGTCATCTGCTGCAGAACTAAAAAAACAACTTAAGACAACTTACCAAGAAAACAGTATCTCTCTAACCCACAAATACAACTTCATTTGGTTAAAAAATTTATTGTTGTAGACTTAGAACTATTAGTCGATAAATATTTACATTTAATAACTGGGCCAGACTGTTTGCAGAGCATGCACTCAACTTCATCCTTTTCTCCTCTGCTTTTTTTAAACTTTCAAATATTTCCTAGTGTTCTGAAACATATTCTGATACAGATTTGTGTTGTCTTCCCATTTTAGTCAATAAAATCTTTAAAACACTATCTTCGAACACCTTGAAATGTGTATATGGTGGATGTGAGAGCCATCAGTAAGTTCAGATGTGCAGATATGTCACAGTTTGTATGCATGCCTGTTTATTTATTGTGTGTAACCTTATATCAATAGGCATCAGTACAATATAGTTGAAGAATACTAAAATAGGATGAAAATCTGAAAAAAAAACCAACTTTGTAAAACCTAGCAAATTTTCAGTAAAAATCAGGTTAAACTGAAAACAAAGGAGCCTGTCTATAAATTAAGTTTGTGCCTGTCTATAAATTGGCCCAAGTAATAATTTATAATCCATCAAAACACAACTGACCATGTACAGTGCCACACAGCCCCAATTTATTTTACTCTGCCACTGCAAATTAGTATTTGTCCCAAACTCTACATCATACAGCCCTTTTGGAATTATGTAACATTATAGATCCCCATGTTGCTCTCAACACAAAAAAACCTTACTGAAAGATAAATTATTTGGGATGGATTAGAAATTGAAAAGCTGCTTAAGTCCTTTACGTACTGGATACAGATGCACAGACAGTTGAATAACCATTTAATCAACTAATGGAGATACGTCATTCTCTAAAGAGTATACTGGTAAATGCACAAGGTTTAAACATCAAAGCAACTCAAACCCCTGTAAATCCTGAGGGAACTGGAAGAGAGTAAATGGTCAAGCTATACTATCCCTCTCTTATCTGTTCAATGCAGCCTCAAATAAACTCTAACACAGGAGAAGGTGCTAAAATCTGTGATTGGTAGACCCTGTAGCTTCATGAATACTAGATGGAACAGAATCCAATTTAGTGAGGTTGTTAATGAAAATATGGTGATAAAGTCAGTGAGTTTTGTCTGCACCCTGGCCCGGTGAAGATGCTTGTACAACCTTCCACAGCTCTATCACTCCTGGGGAAGGAGGGAGAGAAAAGCATGTTAAAAACATGCCACAGAAATATAGTACAATGACAGAAAACACTGTGGTGCGTGGTGATTTATATGCCATGTATTTGCAGTTTTGACTTTTGCTTAATGAAGCAGCAGCAGTGATAAAGTATAATTGAGGGCCTGTCTACACTGAAAACACTACAGTGTAGAAACTGACTATATCAACGAGAGGGATTTTCCTACCAGCGTACCTAATCCACCTCCCCAAGAGGCAGTAGCTAGGTGATGGAAGAATTCTTACACCGATCTGCTACGGTCTACACAAGTACTTAGAGAAGCTCAACTATGCTGCTCTCAGATGTGGATTTTTCACACCCTTGACTGATCAAACAGATCAAAGTTTCTACCGTAGATCAGGCCCGAGATATAGTGATATTTCTAAACTAAACTTCAGCAATGAAGTCTCGTATCAATGTTGAGAAAAGAAATTGAGACATGCCAGATAACCCTATTCTTCACACAGGCATGAGCAGAGCAGCCAAGTTCACCAAGAGTCCAGAAACCTGTTTGGAGTTTTGGTTTTTGTTTTTAGATGACTGAAATCAGTAACATGTATCTTAGTGTACAGTATCCAGAATGGAGGCATTTTTATATAATTCACCCTCATGCATTTTTTAAAAAAGTGTTCCAGTGTATGGAAGGTACAAAGGACTATTTACTGTCACTGGGAATCCACTATACTTCAGTCTCAACACTCTCTCTCTCTCACACACACACATTCTCTTTCTTTTTAATTAATCTTTAGCAGTTATGGTAGCAAAGAAAACCTTGAAAACCAGCCCATATTTGATTAGTGCAGTGATGTCTGCCTGAAACAATAGATCTGAGAAAAGAACAGGGTGAGACTTTCAATGGGTGCTAATTCAGATGCCAATTATGATATTTCAAAATACCAACTTTGTGAACTATTATATTGTTCATAAAAACCTGTAAAAATAAAAAGCAGAATCACAACATGATTAGCTACACAATCACCTCCGAGTGACTATTCATTTTGCCTCAGCAAAGGTAAGAAAGAAAGTAGGTGTGTCTGGTTTCATTTTCTGAAGGAGGCCTCAATTTTCAAAGGCAGCAAACACTGAATGAAGCCATGCATAATTTTTAATTCTACAGATGAAAGGGTGAAAAAAAGATTTTTAAAAGCTCCAAACTTATAGAATTTATTAGAAAAATAAAAAAACCCACAGGGAAGGTTTTAAACATTGTCAGAAAGACCCTTGCAAGTGTGAAAACTTGCTATGTAAATGATATTGATATTTTAAAATACTAAGAGAAACGATGCCCTCGCTTTTTTGGAACTTGTACAACATTGTTAAAAAGTATTATATTCATAGTCTTCTGTCCACTCTATGCAGCACAAATACTTAAATTATTTTAAAAAGCAAACACTACAGTATATGACCAAAAATGATGAGGCATTTCAATCTTCAATTTCATTTTTAAAATACCCATATTCATGAGTTCCTATTATGGGATTGATCAATAGCTCAAAAGAAATCCTGATTAAACACAAATAGTACTTTAGGTGATGCCGTAAGAGTAGAAAAAATGACTGGAGAAGATTTATTTTATAACATAAGGGTGAAAATTAAACA